TATGAGTTATAATCCACTGTTTTAGTAGTTAGTTTACACGGTTTTATGGTAAGTATTGTTCGTATTATGATTTCTAGTGATAATTTTATACTTAGTGACTTGTTTTTGTAGCATTGATCGAATACTTAGTCATACGCTTTATATTAATAAAATAATTGCTAAATATGTTTAGTTTTATTAAATTAATTTTAATATGACTCCTTAGCATGCATTTTATGCACCTACCTACATACATTCTACTCGCTTATTCAAGATGTTTGGAAAATGTTACAAAACCTTACGTGCATTTATTCAACCCATGAAAATGAACAAATTTATTTACGTACAACCTACGTTTGCGAGATCACTATTGAAACTGGACCGAAAGTTCATAATAACATGAATAATAAATACCTAATTTAATTATACAGGGTGGTACAGAACAACCCCTTTTCAACGACCCATTTTCTCGAAAAGGGGTTTAACAGGTCAAACTGAGCAACTTTCCTTAGTGACCAAAGTTCAAAGCCTAAAATATTTGTCCTCCCATACAATAAGTTGTGCTTTGCGAACAAAATTTTCAACAGAAAGTTGTTCAGTTTGAGTTTTTGAGCTAAGCTTTACGTTTGGTACCACCTGTATAAGTGGAACAATCCATTTATTCTTAGATCAATTTATTATGAGAAAATATTGACTTGAGTGAGATTTTGCACTTTTTTCCAACCAGATCATATCAGAATCAATGTACCTAACTAAACAATAATTTCAAAAGACATGTTAAATAGTCCTAAAAAAAATGCAAATTACTTTCTCAAAACTTTTCAGTCTCACAACTCGGTTAAACAATCTGCGTTGATATTTGAAACGTTGGTAAGGTCCATCCGCTATCATAGTGTTATAACCAGAATGAACGGGAGGCTAAGTTACGCTGGTCGCAATACTTAGATACTACGCGACCAGCTTAACTTGGCCTCTCGCTTAGGCTGGTCATGATTATGACACTATGTATGATAGCGGAAGCGGATGGACTAAAGTTTTAGTATAATCCTTACAATACACTACACACACATTATATTGTCAGGAAAACCTTCGTATACGTTTTTGTAGCTCAACGCGACTATCGCTTCGTAATGTCCAGCCCAATTTTATATGTAACGTGTCCACTTTTTATTTATGTGATAAGTGTTACCAAGAAGATGCTGCTGCTGTATCGCTGTGGAAGTATTTATTGTTGCATGTTTTATGTAAAAAAATAGTAGTTGGGAGTTTTAAAACTGAAGGCTCCATTAAAGGCGTATTTTTAAATCCCTAGAATTCCGATTTGTGAATCACTGCGAGGGGTTAGTTATTCAAATCCATTCATGAATTAAGCACCTACGTATGAATAGGTTCGTGTGGAGAACTACGCGTTTCATCATTCTTCTTGATCTGTCGCATTCCAAATCGGATTTGTAGTGATTCAGAAATACTGTGTTTTATGAAACTATTTTAGAGCCTCAAGTTCAGATTTTCTGGGTAGCAGTAGCCTAGTATGAAGGATAATGGGATTTCAATTTCCTTGCTATGCTATAAGGGTTTTATACAACGTGTTACAAAACAACGAATACAGCTCCCATACTCGCACGGAGGTTCAAATGTTTTTTTCATATTTCGACCCATGTTCCATGGGAAAGTTGTTCAGTTTTAGAAGTACCTTGACCTTCTTTCAGCTTTATTGGTTATTTTGTAACACCCAGTATATTGTTTGTCAATAACATGTATGTACCTATGTGTGAATGAACTGGTGTACAATTGGTCCGTGGCAAATCGCAGCTAAAAATTCCGGCACTGCAGCGCGGGGCGCGCTCGTGCGTCGCGTGCGGCGCGCCGGCCGACGCGCACTGCGCGCGGTGCGGCGTCACCCCGTACTGCTCTACGGCGTGCCAGCGGCGCGACTGGCAGGGGAGGCACCAATCAGTGTGCCACAATCTTGCGCGGTAAGCAGCTTATCTGGGGGCACGGCAGTGCCCCCACCAAGTCGAGCTGAAAGCGGCACGGCCGTACCATCCTTTTCTCGAACCAGTTCAGGCCATTTTTGACCCCCCCATAACTCCCTTGTCGATAAGTTTAGAAACCTCATTTTAAAATATCTTATCAAGCACTGCATAGACACGATACATTTCAAATTTCATTTAATTTGGACTAGTAGTTTAGAAGTTATAGTTAGTCAAAGTTTCTTAATTTTCTGCCTGACTGACTGACCGATCATCAAAATTCTAAGGTACTTCTAGCAGACTGAGGAGCTTGAAACTTAGAATACACCTTGTATTTAGTGTATGAATAAAGGGAAAACTATAACATTCTGCAAATTCGGTTGCAACCACATAACTAACTTTGTATTTCCATACAAATGTATAGGATTACAAAGTTAACTTTGCGGATGGGCTTTGAGGAAATCTGTAGCTGAGGCTCAAGAAGTAGTTCCAGATAAGAGAAAGAGGAGGACTATCTACAAAAAGAAATGAGATCCCACCAAAAACATTTACTTGTAAAAATAACCAAGTCTCGCCTCTCAGTTCATCTACTGTAAAAAGTTGTGAGATCCATGTGATGCCAAGTCGGTTATTGATTTATTCAAGGACTACTTCAGGGAACTTTCATCTTAAGTTATTACGTAATTAGGTAACAGACATCATCTTACAGTAAATATATCGATATTTAAAAACTTTTATATTTACAATAACTAGAAAGACTTGGCAATCGCACACTATTTGCTTGTGAGATACGATGGTCTAGTGCGATGGCCGGGTCATTCTAGTTATTGTAAATATTAAAGTTTTTAAATATCGATATAGTTACTGTAAGATGATGTCTGTTACCTAATTACGTAATAGCTTAAGATGAAAGTTCCCTGAAGTAGTCCTTGAATAAATCAATAACCGACTTGGCATCACATGGATCTCACAACTTTTTACAGTAGATGAACTGAGAGGCGAGACTTGGTTATTTTTACAAGTAAATGTTTTTGGTGGGATACTATGTTCTAGTAAAATCGCCGTAGAGCAATGCGGCGTCACCCCGTACTGCTCTACGGCGTGCCAGCGCCGCGACTGGCAGGGGAGGCATCAATCGGTGTGCCACAACCTGGCTCGGTGAGTATCTTATACACTGTTTTATATTGAGTAGCGTACTGCTCTACGGCGTGCCAGCGGCGCGACTGGCAAGGGAGACACCAGTCGGTGTGCCACAACCTGGCTCGGTGAGTATCTTATCTTATACACTGTTTTATATTGAGTAGCGTACTGCTCTACGGCGTGCCAGCGGCGCGACTGGCAGGGGAGGCACCAATCTGTGTGCCACAACCTGGCGCGGTGAGCAGCTTGTACTATGTTCTAGTAAGATCGCCGTAGAGCAATGCGGCGTCACGCCGTACTGCTCTACGGCGTGCCAGCGGCGCGACTGGCAGGGGAGGCATCAATCAGTTTGCCACAACCTTGCGCGGTAAGCAGCTTATATATCTGTATGTGTGAATGACCTAGTGTACAATTGTCACCCCGTACTGCTCTACTGCGTGCCAGCGGCGCGACTGGCAGGGGAGGCACCAATCACTTTGCCACAACCTTCCACGGTAAGCAGCTTATATATACTCCCCATCAAAAAAATCGAGACAGTTTCGTTTTCATAGTCAAACAAAATATGAAATCTATCAAAATAAAAAGTTGAATGTAGAAAATCGACATTAGGATTTTGAAACCTCGTAATACTGACTACTGAACTACATTTGACATTTATTCCAAAATAAACATATGTCTCAGATAACGTGATCCCTACAAAGCGTAAACTTGCTAAGCGTCTCGATTTTTCTGATGGGAAGTGTATCTGTATGTGTGAATGACCTAGTGTACAATTGTCACGCCGTACTGCTCTACGGCGTGCCAGCGGCGCGACTGGCAGGGGATTCACTAATCAGTGTGCCACAACCTTGCACGGTGAGCATCTTATACTATGTTCTAGTAAAATCGCCGTAGAGCTCGACGGCGTGCCAGCGACGCGACTGGCAGGGGAGGCATCAATCAGTTTGCCACAATCTTGCGCGGTGAGCATCTTATAGTACTACTACTACTACTTCTGTCAATAAAGTCCACTGCTGAACATGGGCCTCCCCCTAGTAGGGGGGTATTTGCTATACTCACCACGCTTGGCAGGGCAGGGGCGTTGGATGTTAAGATGTTGCAATGCGATTGCGAAATTCATCCAGTTATTGAACCACTGGATGAATTCATCCCTTAGTCGACTCTTACGACACCCACGGGAAAGATTGAGTAGCTATACAACGTGTTACAAAACAACCAATAAAGCTGAAAGGGTGTGGAAAGGTCCGTTGCAAAGAGTCATTTAACAAAAAATTAGAGCCGTAGTATCGTTTTTGAAAACTATGAAAAAACATTTTTTTATTAAATTACACTTATTTTTAATCGTGGCATCGCAGCACTAATTTTGACAGCTCAAAGTTCAAATGAAGTTACCGACGCGGCGAAGCGCAGTTCGGTCTACATTGCTGGCTATTACATGAAGGTCATCAATACAAGAAACTAAGTCAACCAGCAATGTATGCCGAAGCGGACTTTGTTCGCCAGGTAGTGTAGTACCGGACCTAGACTAGTGATGTGATTATTTTATCGACTGATGATAATAAAAAATATTCTTTTTTTTGGTTAGTTGTGTAACAGGTTGTAGAGTAGCGTACTGCTCGACTGGCAGGGCAGACACCAGGCGGTGTGCCACAACCTCGCGCTGTGAGCCCGGCTTATTTCACTTGCTTTGTTTTGATATCTTTAACTGGAATCAACGCCTGCAATGAGGCAAGATGATAATAGTCGAGAAGTCTATTCGCTGTATTCGCGGCCGTATGGCGCTTCCATACTCACGTGAGTCTGCCACCAAGTAGGAAAGGGAGCGCCGCCGTCCGACCGCCATATGGCGGCGAATGCACTGATTGATCTTCTCAACTACAGAAATTAAAATGGTGCGCATCGATCAGTGCATCGATAGCTCACTGGCAGAGCGGTGGGGCGTGGAGCCATGCGGCCCGGGTTCGAGCCCCGGTCGATACATGACATATTTTCTATTTCTTATTTTCATTTATGAGAATTTAGTGATTAATATCCCAATAATTTAAAATGACGTATTTCAGAATGAACGCTCCGCTGGATGTCGAAGGCGCGCCTGAAGTTGAAACTAAGTAAGTTTACACACTTTAGTCAAGTATATTCTTTTAGTCAAGTAACAAAAGTTTTGAACAAAGCAAGTGGTTCTCAATTTCGCCACCTGGGTTACAACGACCGTAGTGTAACGGTAACACGTCTAACCCGGTTTGTCAGAAGACGGGGACTCGAATCCCATGAGTGGCGGATTTTTTTCCACTTGCTTCGTTTGTGTTATCTTTGTTACCAAAAAGTTAAGTTTACACACTTTTTGGGTAAGTCAACTTTGGCATGTTGTTTCTAAATCATATTAAGTCTATATATGAGTACATAGATGCATACATTAATTAGATATCTAAAGTCACTTTTACGTTAGAAGCTCTAAATTTGTTTCCGTTTTGACCCGACTGGCTCAGAAAGAGGGTTATGTTTTTCGAGAGTATGTATCTAGACAAGAAATTCGTTTTCACGGGCTACAGCCCAAATGGCTGGGCGGATCTTGGCATGTGAGGTGTAGTTAGATTCGTCTCAGCAGCGCGAGTGACACTGGCAATATTTAAATTCATAAATTCATTTTTTTATCACGAAAAACAACTTTGAAATAACCGCAGTCAAGTTTTTGGTTTATTAATACATCTGCTTGTTTTTTTAAAGCATTCCTGCGCCAGCCCCACTGCGTCAGCCGCGCGAAAATGTGCAGAGAGACGACGACAGTGGCTCGGACAGGGGAATCAAGGTAACTTGATTAATAGAATTTTAGCATCCGTTTTAAAAGATAAGAACACTTATCGTTACGAAACCGAAAAGAGCAAGATATGACCTGCGCGATCTTCGAGTCGATAATTTGTAGGAGATCGCGCAAGACAGGGATCAGTGGAGAGAGCTCGTTTCGGAGGTCAAGATCCTCTTTGGGACGCTGAGTCAGCGGAGCTAGTTATATAGTTAGTTAGTTCTTTAAATGGTTAAGCTTATGTCACACCATATGTTTATAACAATATTATTGAAGTCCGATTGACCTGGCATAATTGTACCTATGCTCTAACCAAGGACTAAAACTCAATAGCGTAGAATGTAGGCACGGTACGTCAAATGCCTAAGGTAAGGATGCTTGATAAACTGCTTATTCTCCGTTTTTTTTTTTTATTTATTTTTTATCCGACTGCCTTAGAAGGAGGGTCATGTTTTTCGAGAGTATGTATGTAGCTAAGACATTCTTTTTGACGGAGTACAGCTGGCGGATCTGAAAATATTAGGTGTCGTTAGATTCCTCTCAGCAGCGCGAGTGACACAGTCTACATTAAAATTTAATCAATTAAAAATGACGGATTGTAAACGCAAAAAAATAACTTTGAAATTACCGCAGTCAGGTTTTTGTTTACATGTACATCTGATTGTAATCTTTCAGAAATTCGCGCCACCCGGCAACTCCGTTCTGAAGTCTGGTCAAGCCCAACGCAGCCCTAACACTCGGACCTTCAACAAGCCCAGCCAGGGCGACAGGCCTTACAATGCTGACAGGCCCAACAACAGATCTTTTGACAACGCTGAGAAGCCCAACAGGTCTTTTGACAACTCCGACAGGCAAAACAAGAATTTTGAGAACGCTGAAAGGCCTAACAGGTATTTTTTATGATGACACATCAACATTTTAAGTATTGAATCGCGATAATATTTTAGGTAAACCTTTATAATTTACCTGTGTAAAATGTGTGAAAACAATCGCGAGTGCTTCAAAAGTTATATGACACATCAACATTCAACAGTTTACATTTTAATGGAATTAACAGTAAATACTGGGTGTTACAAAACAACCAATTAAGCTAAAAAGAGGGAGGTCAAGGTTCTCATAAAACTGAATAACTTTCCCCATCGAACAATGGTCGAAATGTGGACAAAAAATTTGGTTCCATACAAAATGAATTCAATTTGTATGGGAGCTTTATTATTTTGTCTTATAACACGTTATAGTATACATGCAAAGCGACCTGAGTATGCCAATACCCTTCGATAGGGGGAGGCCCATGTCCAGCAGTGGACTGTTTTGTGGCTGTTATGGTATGATATACCTACAAAAAGTTGTTCATCTACCTACACTATTCTACATCAATAGAGTTTACATTGGTTCTTTTACAACCACTCTTACAACAGAAAGACAATTCTTGTCATAATGTCATTATTTCTTAACTTTCTTCAACAGCACACAATCCAGTAGTTCATTTACATGAACAAAAACTTATTTCTATTTATTATTATAACGACTAACCTTGTTATTTTAAGTCGAGGCTTATAGAGGCTTATCAGTCATCATCTTCAGGAGTCCGACAGGTCGCTCGCGCACGTTAGCACGGCCCGTCGTTTTAATAATTAATATGAGATATCCTTGTTCGTTTAATAATTTAAAAACTTGTTTAACAGGTCGTTTGACAACAACGCCGAAAGGCCCAACAGGAGCTTTGACAACGCCGACAGGCCCAAGTTTGACAAGTTCAACAACCGCCAAAACCAAGATGGCGGTAGGCCTCCGCTGCGTAAACCACAAGCTGTCCAGGATAATGAACGGCCTGGTGAGTGTTGGTGCTAATATTAATGATAATAACAAAAATTTAATTACAAAGGAGTAACAAAAATGGTATTATAAGCCGAAAGTAGGTCTTAGTAGTAGGAAACTGAACAACTTTCCCCATGGAAAATGGGTCGATAAATTAAGAAGGAAAAGTTCCTTCCTTACAAAATCTTCAATCTGCTGATTGATTTACTATGGGAGGTCCAATTTCTTTGCTTACTAGACCCATATTCCACTGAGTACTTTGACCTCCTTTCGGTTTGTTTATATCCTATTTGTTACTCCCGGTATATCACAATTCACGCCTATATCCCTTGCAGGGTAGGCAGAGCGTAAACAGTTGTAAAAAACTGCCACACTTACACTACGTCTGACAAAAGTTGAGTCATTCAGAAGACTGTGTATCACTATAGTGACAGATCGTCAGCCTGTCGCCTAGAATTGCAATACACATCAACTCTCAATTCCCTTAGTCGCTGTATCTCTGTTTATTCCAGCCACAGAATGAAGATATGGCTATAGAAACCATGACCATTCAGGTTGTCGCAAAGTCCATTCATGAACCGTATAAATAAATACGCATGGTTTCAAATGTGACAAGACATCAAATTACTAACTTTAACTTATCGTATCGTATTACTAATGGTGTCATGTCAATGGTATACAGGGTGTTAGGGACGGTGTACCGAAAACTTTGCAGGCATGATTAGGCCATCAAACTGAACAACTTTTGGAGCCAATGGTGCTAAAAAGAAAAAAAAACCGACCTCCCATACAAAACTTACGATCAGCTAAATGACGTTGAAGCTTTTTTCTCAATCTAACACACCTATAAAGTGTAAAGTACGTCAATCAATGCTTTATTAGACTACTTCTAGAGGTATATGGCCTAGGTTCTTAAGTTTTTTGCCCGCAGAGTTTAGGCCACATTTCTCAGTAATACGAGGGACTATTGTGAATGATTTCATCCGAGGAAATGAAAATTTCATCCACTAATCTCAAGATGGCGGACTTTGGATTTTTGTGTGGCACTAAAAATATTTCTTCTGGAGCCTATCGTGTGGGGTATCAAATGCAAGAGCTACACGATACGATTTCAGACATATATCGTATAATACATACATACAAGCTGCTCGTATTACTTATTCTCGCAAAATTGTTTTTCTTTTTAATTATAGTTGTTCTTGATAATACTAATAACGTAAACAATTTTCGACCTTAAGGTCAGTTCTACCGCCAGCCTAAATTTAGAAGACCACAGTACACTAATACATGCGACGATGACGAGGATTGGGATAGTAAGTGATGGCTGTCTGTAGCACAAAGTTTGTAGTGTTTGTTTGTGTTACAAGCTTTTAGCACTCGTTTCACTCATTTCACTATACAGGGTGAAATTTGACCGTTGATGAAAAACTATGAGGGGCTGGTGATAAGGAACAACTTTCCCCAAAGAACATAGGCCGAAATATGAAAAAAAAGATCTCCCAAAGTAACCCGAGTCAGCTAATCGGCAATTTTGTATGGGAAGTCCCATTTTTTTTTTCGTTTTTCGACCTGTTTTTCATCAACAGTCACTAGTAAAGTTTCACCCTATATGTTTATCAAACACACTACACCATTTCCTATCTGTGTAACGATATCAAGATACATGTCATAGGAATCATATTTAATATCGTAATGAATAAACGTTTATGAATAAAAATGCTGAAAGTTTATGATTGGGAAGGTTTCTTGTATGCGAGGCAAATATGCTCAGCATTTAATGCTTGTGTTGAGACACTTCAGACAGTGATTATGTTGTGAGTCTCAAATACCACCTTCACTTGTTTAGCTTGCGGAAAGTCATGCCGCTCTCGAATCGGCTTATACAGGGTGTTAATTTAAATGCGTGCCATAGCTGCAGGGTAGGTTAAGTATCGATTAAGGGTGCCGTAAAAAATATTGAAGAAAAATCCCAGTAAAAAGATATTATTTTTTCGGGTTTAGTCAAAATTTCTCTTTTTTTGAAAAATAAATTTTTGACACTTGTGGTTTAGAGTGTGTCGATACAAGTACTTTTGTCTAAACAACTTTGAGATTGAACGAATTTCGGCTGAGATATCGGCATTTTTGTGACTGGGATTTTTCAATATTTTTTACGGCATCCTTTATCGATACTTAACCTACCCTGAAGATATAACACGCATTTAAATTAACACCCTGTATAGCCTTCAAAATTCTTGCCTCAGACACTGAATGTATCGCTGCTACAGACGTATGAGGCTAATGATGATGATGATATGATTAGACATCATATGAAGTATCAAACTTGAGACGACACCAGTATCACCTAGTTTTCCTTTACAAG